GGGATTTATAACGTATAAGCATTTATAAGCAATTTTATATCCAAAAGAGATTATTTTGAATGAAATCAAGACCAGAGCAAAAAACGGAGAAATTAGGACAATTTCCTTATGTATTTATCGATAACATTATTATTCTTCCAATATTCGTTACACATTATTAGGTACAATAAGAATGTTCCAAGAGTACTCTTCATATAAATGGGGAAGCGATTAATAATTTATTATTTGCTCCAATTTTTTTCGCGATCTTTTCCCTCGACAATATTCGTTTATCACTAGAACTACCATGTATCGATCGAACGGCATTAAATTCTTAAACAAATTAACGGCATGAAAATATTGTTATATTGTTAAACTTATAATTATTATTTAAGATGCTACCAAACTGAAGTACGAGTGTTTGCAACTGTGGAATATACACAAACTGTCGATAGGTTTAGTGTTATAATATAAAAATAGATCCTCCCAACGAAGACACTGATTAACAAGGTTTCGACGCGTAATTAATTTGGGAACACCGGTCGGTTATTATGGTGCGAAATATCACGAAACTGGTGTGAAATTATTTCCATAGAATTAAATTAAACAGGATTTCATTTCAGTTCCCGTGTACAGCTGTACGAAATTAGTTCGAGAGCGTTTTGCAGCTACTGGACGCTACTTTTTGGTAGCTACATTCAAACTCTGTGCATCATCAGGCTTTAATTTTTTAACATTTCAGAAGAAACAAGTGATTTGTTGCAATGTACGACAATTGGAACTGTAGAGTAGGGATTGAATTGTCCATTATTAAATAATTGTAAACAAATTGTTCATTATTAAATGATTGTAAACAAGATGTTATATTTTACAGGGTGAGTCGCCTAACGCAGACCACTTGAATAACTTTTATATTTTTCGAGATAAGAAAAAATTTTTTGGATAAAAGTTGTTTGGTTTTGAGGGACACATTACATGGTGCACACAACTTTTCTGCAAGTGGAAGTTCTTAGTAGATTCGAAGGTCAACTTTATTTCTTTAACTGCAATTATAACATTCCTGCAACTATTGTTTCTTGCAACACTTTTTGTAGTAGCAAGATTTTCTTAACTCCAGCTGCCGCGTTACCTCGGTATTTTATACTTTTCCTTTGTATCTATTTCTACTGATGTTTTGACACTCCATGCTCGTCCTTTTCTTACTTTACTATACCTTACAACTAGTTTCTTTAATATGTTAGGTTCCAAAGTTCTGTTCTCTTTCCAAATGAACCGATTTTCTTCTACTTCCTCTTTTTCTGCCTCGCATTTTTATTTTCTATTATTTTGTTGTACTTCTCATTGTAAGTAAATCCTCTTTGATAATCACTAATTTTCATCTTTTTCTACTCAAATATTTTCGAAAATGTTCGTTGAAAAGTTAATACGACTGAACGCGAAATGAAATATGGCATTATGTTAAACGACGAAAAAGGAAGTTGAGAGCAGCCATAAAGCCGATTTTGAACTCAGTAATATCGAAATTTATATGTCGAAACGACGAAATGAAAAATTACGTGCTGCGATTTCATAATGAATGATCCAAGCCGGCTTAAAAAACATAAATCCTCATGATTCCGGTCGCGGACACTTAGAGACTGCGAAAGAGAAAAGAGGAACAGAGAGCGAGTGAAATATGCATTTGCAGTTAGTTATTAATTTTTATCGCGAAAATGGAAGAAAAGAACAGTGGAGTTCTCGTATAAAAAGCACGTAGAAGAAACGCTTCATTAAATTATATCCATAATTTTTCTTTCCTATTTCTCTTTCGGTTTGGGTCATAATTCCTTCACGGCCGTCGAAAAGGAAACGATGAACGACACTCGAAGGAGCCCGTAAGTGGCAGCCGGAATTGATTCAACTTAATTTATTCTTGAGTTTGGCTGCGTTGAATGGCCCCTCTACCTTTCGTCTCCTCGTTCGTTAAGCAGCCGATAAGCAGAAGTTCCCAATTGGCCGGAAGCCTCTTTTCAACCGCCTCGCACGTTCCTTCAGGACCTTATTTATCCCTTTCACTGTCGGCCATTAGCGCTCAATATTCGATATAACGAAAACGCTCAACCGTTCGTTCATTCCCATACCCACCCTTCAGTCACGGAATTTATTATTCGAGTAAATAGACTGGGGGCTGTAAATTCCAACTTTTACAACCAGCCAAACATTTTCTGCCAAATAAAATGCAGCTGTTGCTTCAAATAGTTTTCACAATTTTTAGACATTCAATTCTTCAATCTATCAGTAAATAATTTACAAAATTTACGTCTTGAGCGTAAATACAATACGTCCTCCTTTTTCTTTCAATATAAACTCGATTCGCATTTATTGTGGGGGCGGGTACCGCGTGGACTGTTCGAAATAATTTCGAGTCGAATTTCGTGATTGCAAAGCACGGTAGTTTGGTGCTTACAATAAAGCCCATGATGCTTGTTCGAAACGAGTTCCAACGTCGCGAACTATTCGATGTAATCGCGACTTTGGTGCGGCGCGTTGTGTGTCCTGCCGTGAGGAACCGTAAACGCGGCTGTAATGTGTACACGGGTGTAAATTGCGTGTGATATTCTTAAAGAATTATTCAAGTCTCTAGTTCTACGCTCAAATTCTTGAGAAAAGTACACTGCCGCTCAAAAGTATGTGGACATCTAAAAGACGAAAGAATCCCGTTAATGAGTTTCATTCAATTTCATGTACTTTATATTATACTGCCTACAAAATATATTTAGCCAACATTTCATTAAATATCTTTATCAATGACAATAATAAGTAATTGTCAGACTGCGGATCCTTGTGCAAAATAAACATAAAATAAAGGAAATGAAATCTAAATACGAATTTCTTTTAGTTCACGAGTTAGGTGTACTTAATTTAAGAAGGACGTGCATTTGTATTACACTGACTTTCACAACAATTATACTACTACCTATCTGTGTACTGAAGCTATCTAAACGGAGCGTCTGAAGTGATAATCGAAAAGCCCCAGTTGTCATTCCTCTTGAATGTATATTTATCAACAAGTGGTGGAAAAGGGGGAATTAGCAGAGGATGTTTTTCGTGAGGATCGCTGAGGGTTGAAAGGTAGTCTGAATCTGACTGTTGACTTCATTTCAAGATGAGTTGCTGACGGAGGGGAATGCTCGATGAATATCGTTCTAAATCTAGAGGGCTGAACCAGAACGGTCGATGAGTCGTAACGTTAATTGCGAAGTTGGAAGAGCATTCTTTTTTTTTCACTTATATTTTCATGCTATTTGAACAGATTAGCAATTCAGTAAAACTGTATTGATTGAGAGCAATTCAGTAAAACTGTATTGATGTTACAAAAATGTTGCACTTCTTAGTTTCGAATGATGCACAGTTTCATCATAATTATGATGAAATTTCTTCGATAAAACGCGTGATAGAAGCGGAATGAACAGTATTCTTCGGATATATGGCCACCGATCGAGACTGAGGTTGGCCATATATCCGAAAGCATGGATTTCCTGGAATCACCCGTCGTTCGAACGTACAATATCGGAAAAAGTGAAATATCACGAGCGCGACACCAATTGAGAGAGAAAAAGAATAAACATACATAAGATTCGATGCTAACAGAAAATGTTTTCAACAAAAGTTGAAGGTACGCTATTATTCATAAATAAAATTCTATACAAGTCTCTTGTAACTCCAATATTTTCTGAATAATCCTTATGAATATGAAATTGATACCTCAGTATAAGGTGTACGTATTACATGGACTACCAGTTAATTGTTAATAACTCGTTAATTATTGATCCTACCAAGAAATGTTTTCAACAAAAGTTGTAGATACTATTATTATCTACGAATGAGGTTCTATATGTATAATTTTCTTGTATCTCAAATAATGTCTCAGTTATCCTTATGAACATGAAACTGATTCCTTAGTATAGAAGAATAATGTAATAAACTAAAAAATAGTAATAAGTATAGATAAGACTCGATGTTCGCGTGCAGCGAGCACTACCAAGAATTAGAGGGAATGACTCGCAAACGTATACCGGGAGGAAAATGTGGCCATATATTCGGAGATTACTGTATCTCTTTCTCTTGCGCTGTTTATATTTTCGGCAAGTTACCCCGATTCATCCGGTTTGTCTACGAAAAGGAAACAGCGTGGCTGGCATTCGCAAAAAGTAATATTTCACCAGGAGGAGTACGACGGCGGCGGGGGCAGGGGTTGGGGAGTCGTAAGGCCAATATCAGCGTATATCGTCGGTGACAGTGTGCGTTTCAAAAGCGGATTAGTTCCGGTATTGTATTTACAGGTGGTCGTGAAGTGAACGGCTTAGTTGCAAAATTGGTGCGGGACCGCGATGCATCATAACTCCCGCGCAACGCGACGTGCCGTTCAGTCGGTTTTTTGAAATTCTCATGGAAAGAATTTCTCCCTACTACCTACCTCGGTAATTGACGTACTCGAAAAACCTGCTCGCTGAATATCACAAACGCGTTTCTTTTTCCTCCCTTTTTTTTGGTCGCAGCTCGTTCGTGCACGTTCGTTCCTGTTGCCCGATTTTCAGCGAGTAAAAATAGCTTCGAGATCGGCGCGATTAATTACGTTAATTGTTCCGAATTAAATTCATCTTGCTCCTGTAACAAACAGGACTCAACCGAGCAATATAGCGTGATTTATATTCGCGAGCGAGTCCGGATTAAAACGCCGGGGAATTTTGTTGTCGCGAACGATCCGTAACGAAATTGAGATCCGCGTACCATTCGTTGGCTCGTAAATTCTATTGCCTAGTAATAATTTAGATGATATTGGGGGAAGATTAAAATATTAACCTCTTTAGAGAAGAATTTTTTTCAGTGAAAAAAAAAGTCGATTTAATTACTTTTTTTATTATGAGTACTCTGTTTTTTTACCTTGAATAATTTGAATTTGAAAAACTAAACGTACACGTACTGCCATTGACCTTGCATAGATCAATCAAGTATAGAATGATTTCTTAAAAAAAACTTACCAAAAATATCGTTTGGATAAATCACGAGAGCTATTAACACCATTAGAATCGCTTTTTGTTGATCAACCATTTTGTCGCGGTCATTGATCCACCTGAAACAATGAAAGAAGTTAATTAAACACATGGAAATGCATTCGGAATAATTGAATTGCGACAACCAATTCATTTCAGCTCGTTAACGAACAAAACCCTTGATTAGCGCGTTATAACATTTTCGTATTCCATTGTCTTCGATATTAAATACAAAAACATTGCTACCTTTCATCCCCGAGTTGTAAAACTGCGCAAACTTTTAATTTAATGATAATATTAGGAACGTATTAAATCAATAGCAACAATGAATGAGACATAAAATAATATGTGAATTCTTATACAAATCAAATCTTTTACACTAATCTTAGTAAAAGATTAGTAAGTAATATGAGATCGGCATATATGTATATCACAGCATCTGATTCACCGGGCTTCTGATTGAATGTGAAATATTAGCAGGAAATTCGTAATCTACTTCAATTTAATTCCGATTCGTTTTACATTTTCTGTGCGAGAGACGGGGTAAGGGGGATAGATGAAATTAAAGAAGGGAAAAAGAGAGAAAATTTTTTCATGGTAATGGTAATATGGTTGAAATCGGCCATTGGAGCAAAGTCGAAAAAGTGAAGGAAACTTTGGAACTGTATCGAACGAGTGAGAGAGTATACTCTAGAAGAGACAGTCTATTACTCTTCATTAGTTTCTTCGGGGAATAACGACGCTGCAGTCTTTAGCGAGCTACCGACGAGATATCGATTATAAGATATCATTGCGAGTTTTAAACGAGCGGCTAATGATTTTTCGAATAAAGCGACAGGGGATTAACGAGAAGACGTACCCTTGGAAAAAATGTAATTAAAGTATTTGCAATGATATTGATCAATTTTCTGACACAGGCTTCTGTCTCTACTTTCGAGAAGTCTCTCAGACTAACATTGAAAGTATATATGTCATAAATGATTTATAATTATTAATTAAATGAGCAATCTCATTTTTTGTTTATGTGTTTAAACAGTGTTAAAATTATTTTATAACCCCATTAACGTAGATATGTATAATATCAATAGTTTTTTTTTTTTACATGAGAATGGATTAATCATTTTTACATTACTTCTCATGAAAAAGTTTGGTTTGGTGTACGTCCTAAACGAATTAATGTCGTATACTGAGATTCCATTAATTATAAAAGTAATTAATTATATGTATTATTAATTATATAGTAAATTAATTATAATGAAAATAACACCAGGGTACTTAATATATATATATCGAAATAAATCAGGTACTGGTGAACACGAATGGTGGATCTACCCTAATGTTCCATTTATTATCATTTAAATTCACTACTTATCATTCTTTATGCCTTACGATACTTTTCTCGTACCACATTCGCTTCTCTCCGACGTTACTCCTTTCATTCGGACGCTTCCTATTTCCACCGGGTTCTGGTTAACGTTACGTGTACCGCGAGATTTATCTCTCGTGGTATCTCGAAACAGAGGGACTTATTTAAGCAAATGAAGCCGAGGGACGAAGTTAAAGCGGGCGCGGTCGAGCTCGCGTAAAACCGGAAGCCTGAAAAATCCGACCCCGCGTAGGGAAGGAGCCTCGCGAATGTGGGAGGAATAAGAAAAACATAATTTAAAAACTTTAAATGAGACCGAAGCACGGAGATAACGCAACGGAACGGCACTGTTACCCTAAGGAAACTCTTTGCCAGATGCAAATTTAGATAGAAAAATTGTATATCGCTGGAGAACGAGCTGGTAACCAGATTCAATGATTTCTACTGTTGGCAAGCAAAAGAAAAACTGATGGCGATGACCCGAAGAGATCTATTAGAAAACTGAAACAGTTGAAAATCAGTTTCCGTTACGCTTAATTCCTCGTTACTGACAGACTTCCAAGAGAGGAAAAGGAAAATGAAGAAAGTAAAATGTTCCTCGTGAGTGAAAATATTAAAGTCGCGTCGCTGTTTCTGACAGGATTACGCAAGGACAATCTTCGGTCTTTCAAAGGGATTTCACACAAATCAGAACGTCAGACGTCGCGTACTGCCCGGTGAAGAGTGAAAACAGATTAGATCAACAGACAGTAGTAGACATTAGTTATTTGACATTTGGTCGAAATTTCGAAATGTAGTCGACCGAAATTCTTCATTCTATTTCTCCTCGAGTTTGACATTTAAATGTCCAGAATTATTGAATGAATAAGGAAACAAATTTCATGCAGAAATGACAATTTCTGGAATAATAACGTGCAATATCTCACCATTTCTTGTTTGACTGTCGATTTCACTTTATTATTGAAGATCAAACAAGATTTGTATTACATGCTAATTAACTGCACATTAGCCACGGCAATAAATGCTCATTACTGTTTGCTAAAGGGCATGGCAATATTTCATTCAATTTTGAGGCTCATGTTTGGAAAATAACTTCATTACAAATTGACAAAATGTCTTATGGGAATAAAACGGGCAAGTTTCCGCAATCATGACGTTTCGGGCTTGAATTTCTGATTGTTTTACTTGTCGGTCGGTCGAACATTTATCGATTGGCCAAGGAATAGTTATACATTAGGTTTGGATTTCGGCTAACAAGGAGATATTCGACCGACACGCTGGCGTCTGCTGAACAGCCAATTCCCTGCAAACAATGCCCCTAAAGCAATTACGAATTACACACGGCGATTATTGTACGATGAATCGATCCTATGCGATGAATAGTCTTTCCTTATGAAAGGTATCCGTTAATACATTCACCAAAGGTACTTTGTTGAAGTATTAGCTTCATTAAAAACTGCTCAAGTTAAATAATTTTTAATAAAGACTGTATTACTGTATTATATGACGATTATTTAATTTTTCATAAAATATGCATTGTATAAGGTATTAACTGACGAATTTTATCTACCCTTCAATTCATTTTTTAAAGCCAGATGTGAAGAAGCTTGTCTCATAAATCTTAATCTTTACGTAAAAAATGGATTACAAGAGGGATATTGAAAGGAGCTTACGGTTGTATGAGTTCTTAAATAAAAACAATGACAAAGCATTGAAATGTTAGCAATTATTAGATATAGAGTAGCTCGAAAAAGTATTGGCACGCTTTTTAAAACGGAATAACTTTTTTAATATTGAACAGCACAACATAATTTTTTGTAGGATACTATAAGGCTTAGTTTACTATGTAATGAGCGAAAAAAATTTTTCCTGATAGTTTATCGCTTCAAATAGTGGGCATAGCTTTTTATCATATTTCTTGGACTTTTAACAGAGATCTTACGACTCATACAATCTTAAAACTTCAGTACGGACATACTTAGAATTTTGTTCACTTCGTTGCATAACCATATTTTTCTGTGGGAAAGTTAGAAATTGCTCTAATAAAAAAAAATCGTGCCGTAGTTAGTACATCGCTTTCCGAGCTGGTACGACCTTATGTGCTGCAACAGGTGTGACATTTTCGACGATTTAAACACAAACACGTGCAAATTATTACTGGTCGTAAACAAATGCGTCGTTAGAGATTGCATTTTATTGGATTTCCAGTGGTTCTATATGGAAACGTAATAGAAATGGTCTTGTAACGACTACGTTCATGATTTGAAAAATTATGAAACCCAATTTCCTGAGAGTAATCTATGTTATTTTCATTTCCACGTACTTACAAACCAGCGAATGTATTACGCGTTTATTCGACGAAAATATAATTCATAAATTAGGTTGAGTTATAATTTTGTTAAGTAATTCAACCGAGAGATCAGTCAAAAGAGAACGCTGTTAATGTGTGCAGACAGAATGATAAATAATATAACATTACACAATCAGCAGTTATCAGAGATCCAACTGTGAGTGGATTCAGTAGTTCGAGTCAGTGATTAATCAGACGCAGACCCCTTGTCAAGTTTACCTTCCCATTATGAACTTCCACAATCGGTATCGACCATCCGATCTACTGACTCGCCCTTAGAGTATCAAAAACCCAAATCACTGTATGATTATATCGATCGATAAATATTTATTATTATTAGCGTTGGTAGGAGGTCTTTGCATCGTCAAAATTGTTCTTAGGCGGCTTCAAATTAATCAAAACATCGAAACGATTTGACTTCTGCTCCCCACGAAAATATGCTACGGTTGACAGTTGAGAAGTTCCAGTGCCCCGAAGCAACAGTGCTATCTAAATATTTGTAGAAGCGAGCAGACCATCGAGTCTGTTCTTAATTTCCTGCAACTTTCCATATCTCTTTAAAACGGAAACGCGGAGCCGGACAAGAAGAAGCCAATCTACATTTGAAATTTCATTCGTGTCGAATGGACAATGAGTTTACCGACGCGGTGCGCGGCGCACCTTAAACGCGCGTCACGGCGCGACGGCACTCCGTTTAAGAAAATTCTCAAATAAAGTTTGCTCGTTCATCAAACCGCGAGAACAATCAGCCATCTGGAATGGAAATTCATACCGCTCTTACGGTACGGTTATCGTCGACCAAAAGTGGCATAGTTTAATCAATTAACATTCATCGACACTGGTATAAAAATCAGGAGAAAGCGTGTTACAGTTTGGGTGAGCTTTGCTCGTATACGTCTCCGGGATAAAAGTAATTTCATACTTTAGGAATAAAATTACAACAGTCAAGTTGGAAGTTTGTTTTCCTTTAAATTTCTTCTGCAGCGATACTTGTGGGATGAGGACTGCTTTAAAAGTTCTGCCATCTTTGCGAAGTTGTTGCTTTATTCCCGGGGACTGATACAATAAGTTATGATATAAATTTACCAGCAAGCGTTTGGTAAGTTAGTTGTGTTAAGCATTCGCCTGATAAAAATGTTTTTAACTAGAGCGGATTGTGCAACTCTTTGAAAAATTAATGTGTCACTGACAAAAATATGGCAGAGATTATGGGAATAGATTCCGATAGCAGCACCAATAAAGCAGAATGTCAATGTTACTTACAAAATTAACCAAATATGGGTTTACGGGAATACACTTTTAAGATAAGGACGAAAGATGTATTCTCGTAAACTCACATTTTGCACTATTTTTGTCTGGTTATC